TAGACCACAGAAAACACAAGGTAGAAAATATTTCAAGCTAAGTGATAATTAAAATATAAGATTTCAAAATGTTAGAGTTACAGCTAATATATGTGCATGTAGATTTAAATGGTGTATAATAGGAAAGTAAGAAAATTTAACCTAAATTAGCTAAGATCTCACCTTAAGGAGATAGAATATATAAGCAAATTAAACCCATATTAAATAGATGGGAAAAATAAATAAAGAGCAGAAACCAATACAATAGAATAAAAACAGAAAAAATAACAAAGCAAAACAGTATTTGAAAAGATTAATAAAATTGATCAAAGACAATACCTATTATATCCAAATTAAAAAGATGCTATTATTACAGATGCTAAAGACAAAGTTATAATAAAGTCATGTTTAAAAGATTTTATTGCTTTATTTGAGAGAGAGAGAAAGAAAGAGAGAAAGAGAGCAAGCATGAGGGGGAGGGGCAATGGAAGAGGGAGAGGCAGGCTCCCCACTGAGCCGGGAGCCTGCCTCCGGGCTTGATCCCAGCACCCCAGGATCATGACCTGAGCTGAAGACAGACGCTTAACCAACTGAGCCATCCAGGTGCCCCTATTATAAAGTCATGTTTTCCATAACACTCTTATGTCCATAAATTTAAAAGTAGGAATTTAGAATAACAGACAAATTGCTTAAAAATCGCTCAAGTTAAGTTAATCAACAGGAAGCGAAATAGAAAATCTGAATAGCTCTATATTTCTCAAAAATTGTATTTATTATCAAAATCTTCCCCCACAAAGAAAGTTCAGAATTTAGATGTTCTCACTAGTGAAACGAATGAACTAACATACCAATCTTACACAAACTCTTCCATAAGTAGAGGAAGAAAGCACACCTCAGCATATTTTACGAGCTCAGAAAAACCTTGGTATCACAACATGACAAAAACATTACTAGAATAGAAAATTATAGCCTTTCATAAATATAGACATAAAAATCTTTACTAAAATATTAGTACTTGAAAGCAGCAACATATGTAAATGATAATACATAAAGGATAATACAGTATGACCAAGTAGAGTTATTCCAGGAATGAAAAGTTAGTTTAAACCTTAATGAACAACATAATCTATAAATTATCAGAATAACATTATCACCTTAATAAATGAAGCAAAAAGATGCTGGACAATTTTCAACTCTCATTAATGATAAAATTCTCTTAATACTAGGAGCAGGAGATAACTACCTCAATCTGATAAAGGATAACTTGGTCATGACAATAAATCATGACAAATTTGCTTTATCCAGGAAACTAAGGTTGGTGGATATTATAAAAATCAACTTACATTGAAAGATTAAGAGAAAAAATTCATAAGACCATCCCAAAAACTGCTGAAAAAATAACACATTTGATAGAAAAGAATCACCAATGGTAACATTTTCGGAACATTCAGAATAAAATAAACATCCTTTATCTGCCAAAAGATATTCAAAATGCCTAGAGTAAACATCATACTTAAGGGTCAAACACTTAAAGCTTCCTTTGAGACTTGTAAGAAGAGAAAAATTCCCATTATCATCACTTTCATTCAACATTGTACTGGAGTTTCTAAAAGGTGCAGTAAGTCAAGGAAAAGAAATAAAAGCAGAGATAGGAAAGAAAGAACCATGCCAGTATTCACTGATGTTAGGAACAAATTATGAAGTTTCAATAAAGTATCAAGTGAAAATACATGTAACTCAGACATTTATGTCTTCAGCATGAGAAATATTGTTTAGATCAACACTTAAAGATTTCTTTTTTAAACTTATGAATAGATTTTTGAGGCAGAAAGCCTCAGTTCCATTCCTAGCTTTATTTCTAGAGTTTCCTGATATGCTCACAGAAATATCAAGCATCACAAGGGGTGTTGGCAGTTAAAATTATATGTAAATACACACAAACACACACACACACAGTTGTACCTTAGGTTACATCTGGAATATAACCTAGACCATAGGAATTTTCTCAACTTCTTGGCCCACGTTTTATTGTGTAAGATATTGGATCCAATTAGAAATTATATTAATGAAGACCATTGTCCTCATTCTCAAGTGCACTAACAAAAATGACAAAAGCATGACTAGAAGGTCAATTTTAATTTTGTTTTTTAATTTTTAAATTCTCACTATTTACGAACATACATTCATTCCAATTACTCCATTTTTTATTTCGACACTCCTGTAGAATTAAGTTAAATAAATGACCACCAAATGATCATGTATTTAAAAAATTTAAATCTGAGATATTGTACCTGGACTCTTTATAAAATATGATGATTGTTCAAGATTATTTACAGTTTTTATATTGGTTAAGTGGAGTCCCTGTTTGTCAGAATATTATAGTAAAGTGTCATGTTATCAATAAAACCATTTCCTGTGTAATTTTTTTTAAAAGATTATTTATTTATTTTGAGAGAGTGAGAGAGAGAGGCATGAGCTGGGAGAGGGACAGAAGGAGAGAATCTGTCAAGCCAAATCCCCACTGAGGGAGGAGCCCCACAAGGACTCAATCCCACAACCCATGAGATCATGACCTGAACTGAAACCAAGAGTTGGACACTTAACCGACTAAGCCACCCAGGCACCCCGTGTAATTTTTGATAACAGTTTACTTTAAATTAGTTTTAGATTCAGTTTTTAGTAGTACATTAATTTGTGTGTGGTTGACATGGTTTACAAAAGAAGAAATAATCAAATAAAAAAATGATAAAATCATGGTATTGTATTTCATATCCCAAAGGATTGATTTCTGGCATGATATGATATTTTAAGCCAATTATAAATATCTCTTTATTTCTGTTAAAGAAGGCTATTGCTTTTCTTCATTAAGTGGAACCTCTAAGAGCAGACTTGTGCAGAATATCTTGCACCCTTTGTTCGGAGAGCTTTAATTTAATGTATTTGAGATACTTGACATGGTAAAACTCCCAAGGACTTACTTATACGTCACAAATTTATTATTTCTCTTTAATTAAATTCACATATGCTCTTAGGCAATTAAATATGCAAGAGAAAATTTTTAAGTGATGAGAAAGATTACAGGGATGGATGTACAAAAGTGAAATTTTCCAATACTGGTTACATACTGTTTTACATAAGACAAAGACAGTGGAGCAGATAAATGCTTCCTCCTAAGAGATAAGATAGTTATTACTAATTAAGAAAATGCATTTGAAGCAATTACCAAAAGATAACAGCTGTAACTCTATTCATATTTTGAGTTTCCCCCTACCTGCCAAATTGAAGTGTGGACCTCTACTCCATAACTGACTGCACTAAATTTGATCCTCACCACTTTTTTGTATTAATAGGACTACATGCTAAGTTTTGAAAGCCTAAATGACTTCCAATCCTGAAATCCAGAGATAAGCACTTTTATTTTGATATTTTATTTTTTCTCTTCATGTATATATCCATAGCTATAATAATGTAATTCATTTTAAAGATTGAAATTCAGGGTATCTTCTGATATAATAATTTAGAGAATAATTAGAGAGCATACAAAATTATGTGGCCCTCCAATTTGATGATTTTATAATGTATTTTTCATTCTCATATATAGATACTTTACATTATGAATAGAGCTACAGATTTATAGTAATAAGTATCTATTGTTTTTTGTTGTTTTTTCCCTTTTTCTTTACTTCTTTTTTTAAATACTTTTTATTTTTTATTTTTTCCACATTTTAATTTAAATTCCAGTTAGTTAACACAGTGTACTATTAGTTTCAGGTTCACAATATAGTGATTCAACACTTCCATACACCCCCCGGTGCTCATCACAAGTACGCTCCTTAAATCGTGTCACCTGTTTCACCCATCCCCTCTGGCAACCATGAGTTTGTTCTCTACAGTTAAAGTGTCTGTTGTTTTTTAACCACAGCACATTAGAAACTTTCATCCTTCAATGCAAGTTAATTACTTTTTGTGTGCTCATTATATTAAAGTGCTTATAGCAGAACTCCATTTCAGAATAGAAAACTTTGCACTGCTTGCGAAACAAAATGTCATCTGCTATTCTGCAATGAGTTAAGCATCTAGAACAAGAAAGACTGATGCTATTGTGAGATTAAAATAAGTATTCTCACTTCTAATCTGTATCTGTTTCTGTCCTGTAGAGATTGTTGAGTTTGGACATATACAAAATTTAGTTGCAAACCTGGGCAGAAGCCTGATGCAGTCTAGATTGGAAACAACAGAGAAGCAGGTGGTGTGGAGAATAACATGTAAGTTGTGTGGGGCTTCTTTGGCTCATATCACAGCACCTGCAGTTGGAGCCGAGTGAGGAAACACCAGTCCCAACTCTACTATGACTGTCAGTAGCATGCAGTATTTTTCATTAATGGAATAGCAGAATAAGATATCCATCATATGGAAATGATAGCCTTAAAAAAGTTCTCTTTAATCATATGCAGATTATAGTCATATTAAATTGACCATTTTTCCACATTTATCAGTTTTCAATAGCAGTATTTCACAATCATTTTAGGAAATGTGTTTTTATCAGGTATCTTTGTGCAAAATATTGACCCTCAGAAACCTTAATGCTTAATTATACTAAATTAATTTTTCATAATTCACCATATTTTTATATTTATTACTACAGCACATAAGGAATAAATAGTGTATAATCAGATAATTTTCCACATGATAACTGGACATTATCAAATTTTTTTCTGGAGTATTAAAATGAGATTGACTAAAATACTAGCATTTCTATTCTATAGATAATGAAACATATAATTTCACATTTGAAATACGAATTATTATTATAAAAATTCTGAATTTATACTGAAACTATTATACAGATAATAGACTTTGGAATAGTTTTATGATGGCAACATATAACAAAATTACTCATTTTTGATTCAAATATAATACACAAGGAAGATTAGACATGGATAGAAACATTCGTATACAGACAAAATGATATGACTTTGGAGCCAATAAATCCGGCTTTTTTTCTTTTCTTTTCTTTTTTTTTTTTAATGGAAACTTTCATGTATTTGTGTGTCATCCTTGCACTGGGGCCATGCTAATCTCTGTATCATTTCAATTTAGTTTTATGTACTGCCAAGCAAGCACCAAATCTGGCTTTTAATTCTGGCTTTACTTCTAGCGCCCTTTGCATGATTTTGGTTAAATCAGTGTTTTAGCCTCAGTTTCTAAGACATTAATTAGGGGGAGGGCAAGCACCTTTCCTTATTGAATTTGACTATCATGACTGAATATCATGATTGAATGAATCAATATAATATAACTCTTTAGCACTGTGTCTATCATGTGGTAGGCACTCAAAAAATGTTAATTCCCCTAACATGTTTTTATTTTAGTGATTAGATTTGAAAATCTATAATCTCTATGTTTTGAGTTATGGAGAATATTTTAGTTGTGGGAAATTGTTGCACAAAAACAACAAATTGAACTTAAAATATCAATGATCCCTGATGAGTCTAAAGGCTTTCTTAAGGTGGAAATGTTATACTCTAATTAGAAATATGACCACAATGATAAAAACTTTTTAAAGGAAACACACGAATGGCAGCTCCAGTTTTTAAATTATATCTAAAGAAAAATTACTATATAAAACATAATTTCAAAGTATAATCATTTTACTTCCTCAGATTAACCAAAGATGAATGATAGCCATATTACTTTTAATGTGCAAAGGGATGCCAAAAAGGACATTGAAAATCACTTTAGTCCATTAAGGGTAACATTAAATCCCAATGAAATTTAAGTCTTAATTTTATAATGCATCTCAATCTGAAACCTTCATTTCTAATTAGTAATTTATTCCTTTGAACTTCCTATCAGGTTGGCTGTGCCAATCTTAAGCCCTCGATTACAATTTGTCACTTACTCATTTCTGATGTCAAGATTCAGACTACTGATAGACAACCATGTTATTCTGCTATCTGGATGTACCAAAAAAAAAAACAAATCACTGATCTCAAGGACCAATAAAGCTCTATATCTTATTGACTGCTTGGCATATTCAACTCAATAGTATTTATTGGGAACTTCCAATGAAGATATCACTTTGGTTACTATATGGTTTCAAAATGTGAATTAAGAAGCACTACCAATGAGCAAAGACCTTGGACTACAGTGAGGGAGCTAAGGGAACATATATAGAGGTATGTGTTAGACAAGTAGAAAGACATGATCTCAATGTGTCATTAGTAAAATCTAGGTTTGTTTTGTTTCTAGAGATCAGTAACATTTAGGGTACATGCAAGCAGCAGAACCTTATGGCTGTCTAACATATTTCTCACACAAGGAATTTCTTCCTCCTTCCATCATTTTTTCAAGTGGTTTATGGGACTACCATCTACATCTCTACTCCAGCTCTATTTTCCATCTCAAATTGCAACAAACGTTTCCAACATATATTTTATTAGTAAGGAATAGTAAAATTGCAAGAGATTATAGGAACATCAATATATAGGTAACTTACTGAAAATGTTTTTAATGAGGAGAGCAATCTTGAGTAGAAAAAAGTGGGACTTTTTTTTTTTTTTCAAACCAAGGTATACATTTTGGTTTGAATCAGTTTATGCCAAAATTATTGAGGGGCCTGGTCAAAAATCTATGTGTGATCTTTCAGGTCTGACCACAGGCAGTAGCAAAGGTTTTGCCTGGCAGACCTTGCAAAAGAAAGCTGCACTTCCTACACCGGACTTAGAGCACAGCCTGTGCACTGCCATCTCTATAGAAAGTTACAGTCAAGAACTCAGGATCCCTTGGCCAGCCATGCTCTTATCTATATTATTAACCCCAAGCACCTCCATTAGGTACCTCCATCAGGAAGCTGTGTCAGAAACACCTCTGACAGGCACCTCTGCTGAGACCTCTTTATGGGGAGAAGGGCAGGGGGAGGGACTCGAACACACTTTTTTCTACTCTGGACTCAGTATTTAGTACTTTGCCACTCCTAGCCCTTACCCATCCTTCCCCTCCTCCACCTGAGTCCATAAAACTGCAGGATCCTTTTGTTCAGCTTCTCTTGGGAGTGAGGCAATTCCTTTATTCTGGCTAGCGATTCCCCATGTCTGTGCTGATCCATCTGACCCTTGACTTGTGCCATTTCACGGAGAAAAATGGAACAGTGGGAGAGTTGGTACTTTCTCTAATTTAGCTTCTTGCTTATATTTTTACACTAAGTGACTAAAGGCTTGTATGTTACTTTCATTTTGGCTTGTTCCGTCAATCAGTCACTATGACACCTAGCAGCTGAGCAAGCTCCAGCTCAAATCAGCCCTTGAAGATGTGTACCTTCTTTGAGCCTTTCTTGTCTGTAGAACTGGGATATTGATACCTTTTCATCATAATTAGATTTCTTAAGATAAAACTGAAACTTAATTACAGCAGTCTCAAAACCATAATTATAACTGGAAATGTGAAGGATCTCCAAAACAGTAAATAACAGTGATTGAGCATATGAATCATTTTACATTTGGTTACATTTTTATAAATATGAACAATAAATCTCACATCTTCAAACTACACATATTTTCTACAGGATGTCCTGTAGAACATCCTCTACAGGATGACTTCAAAGTCAACATATTTATATATAAACCATATTCTAATTCCAACAAAGAAGCCAACTTCACAAGATTCTTCCATTTTTACCAATAGTACTGGGTACTATATAGTACTAATAGTACTACACACCAGTCACTAGGACCCAAGCTTTTTTTTTTTTTTAAAGATTTTTATTTATTTATTTATTAGAGAGCAAGTGAGAGAGAAACAGCATGAGAGGGGAGAGGGTCAGAGGGAGAAGCAGGCTACAGGAGCCCGATGTGGGACTCGATCCCAGGACTCCGGGATCATGACCTGAGCCGAAAGCAGTTGCTTAACCAACTGAGCCACCCAGGAACCCAGGACCCAAGCTTTTGAGCCCTATTTTGTTTCTGCTTTTTCCCTGATTTGTTGACAGAACATTGCTTCATGTGCATTTGTGAAAGAGACAGACCCTCACTTGCTATCTACACCTGTTATATTAATAGGAATCTGACACAAAATGTCATCTTGTCTTTCCCCAACATTTCTGTAACATATTTGCAAAATAAAAGAGCAAATAAGCAAAACTTAAGCAGATGAATTCCTTACAGGCCAAATTAATATTATCAGAGGCACGCAGGCATTTTTCGGTATTGACTTAGAGACAAGAAAATTTCATTCCCCACTGTTGTCTTATACTAAGAGCCACTATGGCAATGGGGTTGATTGATTCTATGCTTCCTGAATATTATTTGTCCATTTCTGCCTTGCAGAATTGAAATTTCTGCGTATTGTTTAGAATTATTCTGTCCCTCCTAATTCTTCAAGGCCAAAGTGTGAAGTTCCCCATCAATATTTTGGTCCACTAATTCATGACCTTTTCTTCTATCAATAATTCATGTGACCCTCAACACTAATTTGGTAGTTGATGCTTTGTTATTTCCTTTATTTAACAATATATTATTCAAAGTGTCTCACAGCCTTCTTAGGAATACACAATTACCACAGTGTTTTGACTAGACAACTTCAATAATAAAAAAATATATATTAATTATTTAAGAAGTATAGTTTCAAATTTGAACTGCTACCTGAATAAACTTGGTAATTAAAGCAAATTGTACAAGAAATTTCAGCATACTATTTAAGTGGGAAATTAGGCATTTCCTTTAAGTCCTGATTTATTCTTGATTTATTATATCCTAATTTCTTTCATTTAAAGTTGCCTCCAATTTAGAAATATACTGAAGTTTTAGTTGGCTCATATAAGATTTATTTTAGTGCGTGACAAGGTCAACTCCAACTGCAACGAAAACAACACTTTTTAACTGCTATTCCACTGCACAAGGGTAACTTCTGGTTTTTTTGTTGTTTTTTCAGAGGAAAGTAGATTCAAGGAAACATGGTTGCAATGGTATATTTAGATATCTGTGTGTACTGTTTCAAAGTCTTGAAAATTGATATCATTTAAAGGCTAATAAGACTTTTTTTTCTAAGTACATTACTTGAACAAATATATCTTTCTGTTAATGTAATCGTATTCTTTTGGGTATTCTTCATCAGATTGTAATTTGTATATTCTACTCTATTAATTCGTGTCATGGAAAACATATTTCATGTAATATTAAGAGTCTGAAATAAAAAGAACATTTTCTTGACAATTAATTTTGTGGTTTTTATTTAGAAGGTGAATATTACATTTTCTTATGAAATATTCATTGGCGTTATATATACTTCTAATTTATTTAAAAGTTGATTTTTCAGTTCTTTGTTTAATATTCAGATATAATAGGGCAAAATCTTATTAGCAAATGAAAAAAGGAATTTTAGTGCGGACAGAAGGAATGGAGTAAATGTTCCTGTGAGGGAAGGAGAACTAAATCTTATTAAATTTTTACTATTTATCTTGTGTTAGTTTAAAGATGTATGCTTCATTTTTTTTTTAAAGATTTTATTTATTTATTTGACAGAGAGAGACATGAGAGAGGGAACACAAGCAGTGGGAGTGGGAGAGGGAGAAGCAGGCTTCCCGTGGAGCAGGGAGCCCAATGCGGGGCTCGATCCCAGGGCCCTGGGATCATGACCTGAGCCGAAGGCAGCCGCTTAACGACTGAGCCACCCAGACGCCCGATGTATGCTTCATTTAATATAATTTTTCACAAATCTGTAAGGTAAGTTGCTGGAAGGTCTTTTATTTTCTTTACAAATAAAAAGGTTGTGACTTAGATTTCATGCCTTGCCAACATTCTATTACCAAGGAACTGACAGAGCAGTAACCTCAGTGTTTCATGGGTGCATCTCTCTCTTGGGCCAGGGATTATGAAGTCTCTAAATGTCTTAATACAGCAGAGGCAATTAAATTCCTTCCACTCACCCCACAAAAAAAGCTGTTTCTAACGCAGAATTTTATCACTAAATAGTATAAATAATAGCTCCCTCTTTTATTCAGGTAAATTGCTGGAAATGAATAGCACATTTTACCAAAATATCCTGCTGGAATGTATAGGAAGTGTAGATGTATGGAGCTTAAAACACTGTTGAAGTGTAATTTTAAAAGAGTTAAAACACAATTCCAA